TGCTCACACTGAGGACCGCTTCAGCCCCAGTGAAGTCTGCCATACTAAGTAGTAAGGGTGATGCTTCTCAATACCAGTACAGAAATTACAATCTCTACTTAAGAGTTCACTCACGTATTAGTGCAGGGATCTGCCTTTTTAATACAAAGCCCTTCATTCAGCCATTTAGACAGTTTCCAATTTGATTCCAAGCCTGGGAGATCTCTTAACAATGAATTTCCTCTGCAATTGTAATATATTTGCACATTTATGCACAACTAGGATGCTGTGCATCCTCCTGAAGTAACAGGGCAATTAATAGTAGCTCTTATCCATATGCTTTGGGTAGAGGGGACAGTGTTTTTATCAACCAGGACAAAAGCAGAAAATGCAATAAATGTCATAACCTGGAATAGAGCAGAAAGTTTTTTTTTCAAGAAGAAGCAATTTCTCTCTCTTTTTCCTAATACCAACTGATATGGCTCAAAAAAAAAAAATAAAAAAAAATGAACAAGCTTTTGGGCTCAGCATCCTTTCATTAGCTCTGAAAGGACACGGAGTCTAAAAGCCTGCATCTTCCATCTATCAAATGGTCTAATAAAAGTGCAAACCTGTCCTCTCTCTAACAATTTTAGCAATGCTTTAGTGAAGTAATTTTGTTACTCTGTTTAAAGTAGTAAGATTGCAATATAACCTTGAATGCTGCAGCTCCACATACCCTTTATAACATTAGTTTTGTGTAAAGAACATTTTCCCCCCCAAAATTATTCCCTTCTCCAATCCACTGATAACAATGATAGATTTAGAACTACTTTAAGCATTACAATTTAACCTTTCATAATATACGACAACCACCATGAAAAATAAGCATTTGTCAAAGGTCCTTAGAGGATCATCTGTCTGACACATGAAGTAGCTAGGTATACACACTATATGGGATGGGAAAAAAAAAAGGTATCCTTGCTTCCAGCTGGCAACTATTGACAAATACTCTTTATTTTACTCCTATGACAGCACTGTAAAAGTATGGATCACTAAGGCAACTGTTGGTATATCTAAGTTTTCAAGGGGACTGGTTTTAATACCATTTCCTGGTCAGGCTTATAAATTTATATATTTAACAATAAAAGTAATGTCTAGTACCTAGGCTCCATGTAGAAACAATGACTTCCAAGAGAAAAAATGGTACAAGTATCAGCTCCTTTCCCAGAAAGCTCACTCATAATACCAGTAGCAATGAATCCAGCTGAGCCAGAACTGCAGGGAAGGATATTTTATTTGCCTGAAAGATACATAGCAAGACATTCTCTCGGATTAAGCAGAGAGAATTTGCCAGCACAGCTGAAGGGAATGGTGGGCTACTTCCTTTCACCAGGAGATAGGACTTAACTGGTAAAAAGAATGATTAGAAAGAGTCTCTGTTTGTTGCACCTAATACATTAAAACAGTGATCCATCTTAAGCACAGGAGGCTGGTTATTCAACCAAAAGAGTCTTCCATCGTTGCTCTTTTTCTACCAGGATGTAAAAACCCTCCTCAGCAAACCCCCAAAGGTTCAACAGAAAATTCTGTGTGGATCAGGACTCTTTACTTTCTAACCCAGTGCTTTTCTGGACAACCACTAGGTTGAGATCCTAAGCCTGAGTAACAGATGAAGTGGTGCTCCCCTTGGAACATGCTGGCTTTGGCTCGGGTTCTGTACAGGCTACTGATTACTGAGATTAAATCAGAAATGCTGAGGCTGTGACAACTGTCTCAGCATTTCTGAGCAGCTTTGCTACACTCCTAAGACATGAAATTACTTAGATGTCTGCCTCTTCCCCCTATATATTTAAAGTTTGCAAATGACAAGGCTCTTGGCAGTTGTCTTAATATCAGTACTATTACTCCACTAATTTCTTTGGCATTCCACTTGCAAAATAGGCCTAATGATATGTTCAACTAATGGAACAATTTCCCCATATCTATATTCCACTTACTCTAATGCACTGAGGTGTAACTCTCGCTTCATTTCATTATCACTTGACTAGCTCAAGCACTTCGATATCTTTTTGGATTTATTAATGCACCAGGTTTAAAGTAATAACTATTTATGTATATAACTCCATGAATATATTCTTTCTAAGCTTTTTCGTCCACATCTATTAAAGTAGATACATTTCATAATGTTTCTGAATGTGAGACATGCTTTAAAAATGTCTTGATGTTTTTTTCTCTAAGCTTAAAGCAATATCTCAGTGTTATTCTCTCCTACGAGAGTTCAGATAGTGTCCTATTAATTTAAATTTAGGGCAAGTCTATCCTTAAAGACTTTCATTTCACTACATTAATAGATTTACTTAACACCAAAACAAAAACACCAGAGTTTTGGCAATTCCTTCCATAGTCTAAATATCAGGAATTAGCTGTCAAACATAGAGACAGTTGCTAATTCCTTGACACAGAGCTATGTTGATGAAGTCCTCTGTGCAAGAAACCAATCCTGCAGGGAGATGGAATATCCCTACAGAAGAAGAGTCTGCTGAGAACTCATCCAAGTCCACTAGGTTAAATGCAGATGGCAATTCACAAGACACCAGAAAAAAAGCAGACATGATGGTCATCTGGTAAAAACCATTCAGACCTTCAGCTGATGTTCTCTCCAGTAGGCTATAGGTGATTGAGGATGGGGCCCACTTCTGCTGACATCTGTTGTAGTGGTGCTACCCTGCAGAAAAGCATCAATTCAAGATGGCAAAGAAAGCCTCAGACTGTATATTGATTGTTAGGGCAGCTCTCCAGGAGATAGACCCAAATACTGATCATTTCTCCAGGAATGCTTATGGAAAGCCATCTGGGTAGCATGTATACTCCCTGCTCTCCTTGCTGAAGATCTAAGTGACTCCTAAAAGGCCATACCAAATGTCTGTGGTAATCTAAGACATTGCAATCAGATCTCCTGAATCACTGACTACTGACCTAACCACAGGAAAACCTTCTCTGAGCTTTAGATGCTAAAGTGTTTCATTTTAAAGCTCTGGTTCACCAGCCAGTAAGTGCTCAGGTCCTTTTGGAAAACAGCATCATTAAGGCATATCAAAACTGTCATTCAGAATCATTACTTAAGAGAAAATTACAGTGGGAAGACTCTGGAAAAGAGCCCTAAGATCTTTTACCAATCCATACGAGACTGTGGTTGCTGAGCACCAAAACATCCTTCTCTGGACAGCTGTTTGGGTAAGCATTGGACCAACCCTTCTGGAGAGTTACATCCCTCCCAACCACTGCATTTGCTGCAACTTAGAGGGTCCTTACCACGCCCCCCTCTTTGTGGTCGCATATCAAATTCCCAGTTTTAGTTCAAGAAAAAAACCTGCAAATGTTTCAATGCATGAGGATAAACATACTCTTAAAACTGTGTGACAACCGATCATCTACATAATGTGGTGTAACACAATTATATGTCTTTATATAACATGACACACAACCACACATGTTCTCTGTGGACAGGAGTTCAACAATGCCAGGTTTTTAAAAACCTCCAAAACAAATAAATCTCTCATCTTCCTCTCTTTTCCCCTTTGGGCTTGTCATGCTTCAGCTCTGAGGCATCTTCTTGTCTCCCAGGCTTTCAAACCCAAGCGGGTTTTACATTTATAACAACAATACCAGCCTTTAATCCATGATTTCAAAGACCTTAATGATGAAGGCGAGTATTATTACTCTAATCTGTTGACAAATTGACACTGTAGTTTACTCTTGCCTAATCTGAAGGGCAAGAATGTAGGCAGAGCACTGCCACTTTATCCTATGTGTTGGGGTACACGGCCAAAAAAAATTATATCACACAATGAATGGATTAGACATGAATGCAGTCTTTGAAATGCATGTTCAATGTGCTCCAGACGAAAATATTAAGCAGTTAGACACCATTCTATGCTACCTGAATAATTCAATAGGTCTTTAAGTTTCAGCTGTCAATCACCACAAACTGGAGATTACAAAGTCATCTACAGAAAGCTTTGTTCTAGTGAGATGAGACAGAAACATCACAATTTCCATACCACCAGCCAAAGAGAAAGGAAAAAAACCACTGTGGCTACTGTGACAACACGGTCCTGTAGAATTAATAGACACCCACACCACACCAAAGCTCTGCTTCCTATTACTCAAAGGCCCATTCCACCAGACAGACAGACAGGGCAGCGAGTATTTAAGTGACTGCCACTCTGAAATGCGTGATAAAACAAAATACTAAAACCTGGATCTTGTCACATATAGTAGGACCAACGTCATAGAAAACAAAATAAAAAGGGAGAAGGTTAGGGCTGATAAAACCCCCTGAACACAGATTTCTAATGATATATGATAAAAATAAATCACAGGCATATGGGGGAGGGGATCAAGGGGGATTAACAAATCTACTATCCACCAGGTTTTCTTAAATTCTAGGAAGTAACCTCCCGTGTGAAACATAAGATAAATGGCTAACATTTCCCAAGTGCTCCAGTGAGAGCCATCTTTCTCCCACTCATTCTTGCACAGGGACAGCTCAAGTTTAAAGTTCTCATTCAGACACAGTTGGGCTCTAACCCCTGTGGTATCTTTTCAGACCCAGAGAAACCCTACCAGCATCGTTAATGAAAGAGCAAAGCATGTACAAAGTGCATGGAAAAGCAATATACACTAGGAGCTATATACATTAGTGCAAATCATTTTCTTCTCAAAGTCAAGAGAGCCAGCGCCACACACCAGGTTTCAGGAGGAAACACAGATACAGCGGAGAATAAAGAAACTAGCTGCACTGAGCATATAGAAGCAGGCCTTGACTTTGCAAAAGCATTGTCACAAGTAGTTTTGCTGGTTCACAGATTTTAAATGTCTGCATTTGTCCGGGATCAGAGCCTCTATGTGCAGCTGATCTTAAAGAAAGTTCACATTTTAATATCTGGCTGAGGCAAGGAAAGAAGAAAGGACACCAACTGTTTCCTGTTTGATGCATCATTTTTCCAAGTCGGATGGCACTCGGTTACTTTACCTACCTAGAGGGAAAAATTCGCCCATTTTCTTCTTGAAAATCTTGTAGTCAACCTCCAAAAAGACACAGAAGATGATCCGATCCATCTGTAAGAAACAACATTATTCACAGTGAAACGATCCCAATCATAGACATTGGAGGAAAATAATAAAAGCAAAGAAACTTTTAAGTCAACATGCTTTAATGCTCCAGGCAAGCAAGACAACATCACAGAGATGCATGTTTTGACTTTATTGTGTGCCTGTACTGTAATTTATAAACAATATTTGCAATCACAGCTCACAACTGTATTCTTTGTTAACTGCCTCCTGTTTATGCAAACCACTCTTCAGCACAGTATAAATGACTTTTGGCATCCTAGATGAGTACTGGGATGCAATGTTTGATGGAAGAGTCACATGGGGGGCTTCTAATAAGCATACAAAAGAGTAAATGGTAAGCAAAGAGTTCTTTTTCCAACCCTTGTCCGACAAACCTATTGCAAAACCATTTAGTATTTTAAAATGGCTTTAAAAGGTTTCATGCAGTTTTAATTAACATGAAACCACTTACTCTTGCTATAATACAAGCAGAATGCAGCAAAAACAAAAGCTGATTAGATGACAGGTAGCACACAGGGTAAATAAAACATTTAATATGCCATCTACTTAGCAATGCTGAGCATATCAATGAAACCACAGCCCATAATGTATGCGCCACCCACCAATGACTTCAAATAAATTGCTCGGGACATCACTGTGTGTGAAAAGCTTTTCTAAAGGAGACCAAAAAGAAGCCAAACAGAATAAAAACCAAACACAATTACGAAGCCTTTAAGACTGAAAAACACCTACACTGGGCTTCACCCCAGCCTTGCTATTCCTTTGTTTCATCTGCTTGCACAGCCCAGCATAAATTGCCTCTGCAGCCAAAACCCAGCTCTGGGAGGGAGCTGTGGAAGTCAAAAAGACCTTCCCACAGCTGAGCTGAGCGACCTGCAACCCAATAATCAAGTTTTTCTCTGAAGTTTATGAAAGCTTAACTGGAGTGGGATGAAGCCCAAGGAACAGGGAATTCAGCATCTTGGCTGGCATTATGCTGCCCCTGTGTCTCCAGGGCAATAAGCTGATCTGTCGTAGCAGAGCTCCTCAAGAGTGCCTTTGCACATGCTAGAAAAGGCAGCAGCCTTCCCCTGCAGGGAACCCAGCAGGAGGAACGCTCTCCAAAAAGATGCCTTCTTTCCCTTTTCTTCAGAAGAAAATGCTGTCCTTTTGCTAGAGTGGCTCTTCGAAGCAAAGTACAAGTCCGGGCTTCAAAGATACCATTATGCTGAGCAGATGAGTACGTCATTTTAGAGCTCTTTTTGGAGCAGCCTGGTAGAATTTAGAAGGGAACAAGAGCAGGCAATAACTGCTTATGCTGGAAAATGCTAATAGTTGGTACCAAGGACATCTGTGAATCAAAGCTGACTGCAAAACCTGAAAAAGCAAACTGCAGGTAGGAAATAATAGACTGAAGGTACAGGTGATGTGGGTGTTAAGAAAAAGGCTTGCGAGCAGGAGAGAAAGCAGCAGGGCAGAGCTTGGGCAGGAGCTGCTTGCTAGGGAAGATTTGTGAGCAGAGAAACTGCCTGTTGCTCTCTGCTCCTACAATGTCCACAGAAACAAACTGTTCTGGGCATCCCTCATAAACAAACCAGGCTAAGCCTTAAAAGTATTCACCAGCTACTCTCCCTAAGCGATATATACAATAAAGAATTCAAATACTGGTTAAGTGCTCAAGCCAAAAAGCCACACTCATCTGTGTACTCTCAAATATATAATGTAAAGCACTAATGACAAGAGGTGCCACGTTGTACCTATATGAGATTTTCCACCTAAGAAAAGTGTGTTTTCAAGAGGAAAGCTTTAGACAGTGAATCCTTAAATTATGTTTCTTGTGCAAACTGGTTTAGGGTAGTGCTGGGGTGATGCTAGCTTGTCACCTTCTATCTCCGCCTCCCTAGCAGAGCAGATACTCAATCATTACTGTGATAGGTTCAATACATGAACCAGGGGAGACATTAGAGCAAGGACGACAACTCATAAACCAGAGGAGGAACGATATTGCTGTGCAGAGAAGTTCTGAGCCCTCTTCTTCTATAGACAGTTTCATATTCTCTTCTGTAATTACTAGAGGCATTTCCCTCATTTTATCCAGTTCCACTTCTCAAGGTGTTGCTTTTATTTATTCTGTGCAGATGACAATGATAAAACTTCTGCAATTCTGAGAATTTCTGCTACCTCTAATATAATTCCTTAATTTAAAGATAGGGAATCTCTCTAGAAATGGAAGACTATTTAAAAATTTCTAGCCTCCTGAGTGTACACTTCCTATATATAAACCTGTTCAGTTTCTTCTTGGTGTGAGAAAAAGTGCTCTATTTTTAAGTATGCATAAGATATTGTGATGACAGCTGAAATCCTGTGTTTATCTGATTGAATGGCATGTGTTGGCAGATAGTAAATCTGAAATTAAACCATATTCTATCAGCCTGCCAGTCATTGACTATTTTATCTAACATCCCCACCTAAAATAACTTGAAATTAGGTATGGAAAGTAACCCTTGCCCTCACTGTTCTCATTCCAGCTACAATAAGGAAAGGTTTAATCCAAGTGACTAGAAACCTGCCTTGCCTGCCGGCTCACAGAAGCTCAGTAGGCCTTTTGGGATGCGCACTTATGAACGCTTCTCCGTATTCAAAGAGGAAATCTCTCCTCTCATGTGCTTAGGAAATGCCAACTTGATTAGATGTTTCATGCTGCCCCTTTGCAGGGGGCAGGGAACAGGCCCCCCAGGACCTCCCCAAGCATGGCCAGGGAGCCTCCAGTGCCTTTTGTAGGTGCCTGGTTCCTCCACAGCTGACCAAGCACCACTCAACTGCAGCAGAAGTTTAAAGGAACTGCAAGTTGAAGGTATTAAAGCTCATCCTTGATTGACAGCTCCTTTCTGGACGCCGGTATTAGAATCAACCATCCCCTGTCAGAGCCTGATTAAATTCTGCTCGCTTCAAAGCTGTGCATAGGTGGATCAAAGAACCCCCAAATTAAGAGCACCACAACACAGGAAGAAGGGAGCTGAACTGCATGAGCTGTTCACTTAGTAGGCAGCTTCACAGCTCAAGGCTGCAAGTACAGTGATTGTTTTCAATATATTTCTATGTATACATACATACATATGTATAAATCTAATTCTTTTCTTGGGCCATGCTCTCCTTGCCAGGCTCCATTTATTTTGGAGGGGGGATGCCTTCCCAGTGGTTTTGTTAGCTGCACCTGATAGGGATCCGTAGACCTCTGGGCTCTGCATGGCTCACAAGGCTCAGGCTGGTTTGTAGTGGAATGGACACAGAGTTAGTCATTGACACCAGGATTTTACAGGGATACGACCAAATCTAGTGAACTGAAAACCCTTCCACTGTGTATAAGAGCACTGCTGGTCTTAATAGCAGCAGCATTGATCTTAATACAAAGAAGCTAGCAAAAATACCTCCTTCCTGGTTTTTATGCAGTGAGGTTTTCTTTGTTTGGCTGTTTTTTCCCCTACGAGTTTGAGAGCACTTTGAATATAGCAAGTTTTAAGACTTGGTGGGTTAATGCACCTTGGGTTAGACCACTCAGAGCACTAATGGTCTGGAAGAGTTCCATGGGAGGCTGGGGCAGGTGGGCGCTCCAGGACTGCACTGTCACTGCAGCATGGGCATGATGAAAAGCTGCTGAGGGCCCCACAAAGCACCCAGCAGGGCTGGGAGCTGCACCCTCTGCAGAGCCAAAATGTACCTACATGCAGACATCACCAGCCAGAGGCAACTCTGCTCACAGAAGGCAAACGGAGTAAGATGGACATGTTCTGCTTGAAGAAATGATCGCAAGCCTGCCCGCATCCAAGGCCACAATAAAGTAAGAGTCTGCTGACACTTTCTGGCAACTTTACACTCTTTATTTATGGATTATTTGAGAAGAAATAAAAGCCCAGCCTTCCTAGCAAACTAAAAGCACACAAGTACCCTGAAGGACCCTTCCCTCTACAGCAGTGTGCAGGAGAACACTGCATGCATACGCACATATCTGTGACTGCAGCCACTGATACAGGAGTTCATGCTATACAGGTGTACCCATATACATGTTAGGGTCAAAAGTGTCTCAGTTTTTATCTCAGCTCTATTGCTGTGGCCTCTGGCAGGTTTCCCCATTCCTCTGACTTCATTTCCCTATCTGTCTGGGGACAGTACTACTCAGTTGTGCACTTACACATCGCTACAGAGGTATTGCCAAGCACAATCCACAGGACATGCCAAATGCTGTCACACGTATAGCTGTGTATATACCCAGGCACCAAGCTGTATATATCAAGCACAGATTTAAACAGAAAACTGATCAAAAGACATCCTAGACTATTTTATCTAATGAATGTTTCCATGTCATTGCCACCTTGAGTCCTAACAAAATAACAGCATTTCAGCGCTACTGAATATTTCAGGCATATCCCTGGTACCAAGATGTTCACCCAGGAGGCAGTGACTGCTTTTTATCATATGCGACAACAAGTTTCATCATAATTTAAATCTTACTGGAAAATACACAATAGAAAAACAATGCTAACTTGTAACAAATATTTCCTAATCCCAAATCAAATTAATGGTAACAAACAGCAAAGAGACTGAAGCAGCTTTCTGCTCTCTGCCTGCGCAGCAAATCCCTTTCATGAAATGCCTTTGACTGATCCCTCGGGGACCTGTTGTTGTAAGGGGATGGTGAACACCAGAAGCTTGCTGTAACATTTTTAGTTTACCAAACATTCTGTGGACTTAATTCAAAACTCAGTGAAGCCAAACAGAGGCTTTTTATTGAGTTCAGCATGGTTGAGTCGGCGCCTATGCTCTGTAACCCCAGAAATAACATTTGCCTCCTTAAGAATGAAAGTTCTTCTGATATCCAAATTTCATTAACCTAAATCTTCAGATACTTTCTCAAACATGCCATTAACAGTCACAGTCCAGAGCTGCCTGTACCCATTAAGACTCCTTGACTACAGTGCCTGTAAGTGCCCTGAACCTTCAACAGTGCT